GATGATGATGATGATGATGATGATGATGATGATGATGATGATGATGATGATGATGATGATGATGATGATGATGATGATGATGGTCATGTATGGCCCATATCATAAGATACTTGAACATGAGAATTAGTAGTTATTTTCCTAGTCGCTTCTTGTTATCAGCAGCGAAACCTCTGTACATCGGCTACACCCGGGCCCAGATAGAGTAGTAATTAACATCGCAGATATATGCCTCGATGCTTTTTCAAACCCGTCCCCCGTCTTGACAAAATGTGTACGCCGGTTGTCTTTTTATACCCCGTCTACCAGTTTTTCGTAAGACGTGGCTAGCTACTCAGTATGAATTTCACTATAAGTCAGCTTTAAAACAGCTAAGATTTCCCATTACAAAATAAATAAGTAGTTTATTGAATTGCCTTTCAGTCCGAAGATACGCTATTCGACATCCGCATGTGACAGGTTTAGCAAATTCTCTTCAAGCGGTCGCCGTACTCGAAACTTTCAGTATAATTAACACAAAGGGTCTCATAGTTGCTTAATCACCCTAAGTTTGGTTAAATTTATGAATTTTTTGATGGATGCGGCGTGAGATTTTAGATTAAAGTTTTCAAGTCAAAAATACGCCTTTGCACATGAAGTGGAATTTTTAGCGCAGGATTAGGAGGTGGGACGTGTCACACGTTGAGCTGCAATACCTTTACGAGTGAAGTAAAACTTTTTGCGCCAGAATGTTGCATTTTGTTTTATATGTGCTCACACCGAAAACCATCCTAATATACGTTCATATTTTTGCAGCTCACCGAAGCAATCATGCCTCTGACGGAAAAGTCAGGTGGAATAATTTCTTTGCATCGCTGAGTCTAAATGAGACTCAAAAGTTTGGACTGCTACTCTGAACTAATTTGCCCGATTGCCTTAGTCCATCAGGGAGACGTCATAACTTTCGAAAATTCAATTTCATTGTGCGAATACTGAGCCCCTCTAAGACACATTCTTTTCGCCTTCGTGACAGGCCCGGTTACGCAATCGGATATGTGCGCTACTCCACTTTACTAGATCAGTTTATGTCTCAGTTTTTTTCTAAGGGGGAAAGACGGATCGATTCTTTCTATTCAGTAATGGCTTCAGTATAACTAACCAACCATCGATGCAGTTTCGAAATAAATTTTTGAAAAAATTTGTCACATGACTGAACATTACTTACATCCACATACTTGCTGCTAAAAAGAGTACAAGTGGAACATAAGGTTGACGGAAACTCGGGGACTGCGCCCACCTGATGAGCCCCAAGAAGGGCGAAACCGGTCGTGGGCTGTCGAAGCATTTTCAGCAACCTTGTGAGTAGTTTCCTTTATAAAAACCTAACAACTTCACTGAAGATGAAGCTATCGTCTAACATATGAGGATGATTGCTAGTTACGGAAACGTAACAATTTTGCATGCGAAAATTCGTGAGTGCTTGGTCTCAATTTTTCATGATTCTCAAGGTTGTGGCTAGGTCAACATTTTGTTGAAATCCGTCCACTAGAGGCTTGGTTGAATCGTGAATGAACGAGCCACAGACCAGTAGGTGGAAGCCAGGAATAATCCAACGTTGTTCGATTTCAACTTGACCGAATACCATCGCATTTTTTCCATCCAGTAATGACAAACGCTGACGCATGCAACTCCTGTCCAAGAAGCTTGTTTCTAGTTAGTACATGAACCGGAAAGTCGTGTCTTCGAAACATTCCGCACCGTTCGAAAAAAGTTGATTTCAAACGACAGTTGTCCAGGATCCTTGTATGGAATCTGGGTGAGAAACAATTTACAAGCAGGCCCAGAATATATGGGCATTCGCCTGGGAAGTACACGCGCACAAATTGGTGTTGAACAGATCGATAGGGTGTTTGCGTACCCCAAATGGAACCGTTGGGGATCTAGTATTTCGCTTGCACGTCAGCACTTTGGGACAAATGTCAACCGGATACAAATGACTAGTGTGTTTGTGTGAACAACGGGTGGGACAACAAACAACGTGCACTAAGTTGTTTGAACTAAATACGGGACTAAATAATAGCTGGCCTTAATGTAAATACTGAAGAATCTATGAGCAGTTAGTTGGCTGAAATTTGAATTGGACTGGGGGAAATTCTATGCACAATAACAGAACGTAGGTACGAACAAAAGCGGTGCAATCTGTTCTATGGAATAAGATGACAGGCTTCACGAGAATGACTTGTCGACGATAATGTTGTGAGTAGTTATTGCCAAGTACTCTTTGCGCTCCCCAAATAAACATGATTTTGGTTGAAATGTTCGGCAAGCCTCACAGTCTCATCAACAATGCAGGTAACATCCTCAGAACGTTGTTCTTCAGCTGTGGGAACATTTCTCTGTGTGCGTTCACTTTCAGCAGTTATCCCGGATATTACAAACCCTTTGTGTCCTCAACTGGAATGACTTCCTCCATCGATCGAAATTTGATTGGCTGAGAGGAAAACCAATGATGCGTCAGCTTGGTCACCTGACGATCTGAGTGTCCTGACCCGGCACTCGCTCATGAATTAAAACTGCTCTAAGAAAATCATTTATTTGACAAGTGGAAAAAATGGTTTTACAAGGTGGGTAAAGCTCTCTTCCTAGCATTCCTAGCATTCTTCCTAGCATTCACTAACTATAAATCATTTAATTGGAGGCTAGTCACTCTGCTGATCAGTTGCTCTTCACCGAACTGTTCAAACTACTGATCCGTGAGTTTGAAACTTTGGGATGGACATTGCTGGTGATTCCAAATAGGAACGAAGCAGCCGTACGATGCTTCTCGGCCATTTAACGTAGACTGGTTTCAATGCAGGACGAAACCTGAACTGAAAACAAGGCTGGCTAGAGGCAGCTAAAACAGTTCCAAAGGTAACAACGAGAGTGAAACGAGACTCGGCAGGGGAGAGTACTGTAGGCCACTATAGAAGGCTTTGTTGCCGAGGAGTTTTTCTGCGATACATTAGTATAACATACCTTCATGATGACTACCAGATCCCAGCAACTGGTCTATTTCACATTTGACTAGACAAATGATTTAGCTAATAGATCAGTATAGATCAGTATAGTTCGGCGGTATTTCTGGTGAAATCGGTTGAGATTACACAAGGTCGAATTTTAAATCTGAGTTGGAAACTCATAGTATTGTAATTGAGAAGTACAATAACTGTTTTGCTGCATACCAAAGCATTTACCCAGGTGGATCGAACGATGAATTGTTTCGATCAACCAGACTGTTTTATTCGGAGTGGTGGGTGGGTGTGAAAGAGATACTGCTTCGTGAAAGCATCCAGTATTAGCATCCAACGTGACGCATTAAACAGTTTCAACTTAGTCTACTCCTAGTTGAATGCGGAGGATGAAATAATCGTCATAAAGGAAACTACTCATAAGGTTGCTGAAAACCCTTTGACAGCCCACGACCGGTTTCGCCCTTCCAGTTCGGGCTCATCGGGTAGGCGCAGTCCCCGAGATTCCGTCAACCTTGTGTTCTACTTGAACCCAAATTGGACCGTATTCGAGAAGTACACCCATTTGCAAATCAATTTGGTTTTCACGAGAGACTCAACTGAGCTGACGAAAGCTCGGGCCGATGAGCCCCAAGAAGGGCGAGATCCGTCATGGGCTGTCGAACACTTTTCAGCAACCTTGTGAGTAAATTCCTTCATGAAAATATACTGCGATATCTCGAATATCGTGTGAAACTGAATCATGAGGCGGCCTGTGTGCAGCACATTCAGTTGTAGAATATCATAAACTAGAGATTCGGTTGATTCTTCCGTGAAAACCAAGTCGATTTGCAAATTAGTGTATTTCTCAAAGAAATAATTGCCTTATTTGAAAAATAGCTGTTTGGCTGTGAAACGTAGCCACCTATAGCAAAGAATTTCATATCTTGTCACCTTTTACCACCAATGCCTCGGAGCTAGGGCTAGAATCGGCTTGGGACAACGAATTCACAATGGGGGAATCAATAAATTGGTTCACCGTGAAACAGACGGTGCTTCAATTAGAAAGGATACATCCAATATTGCAAGCTTACCATGTGGTAAGCATCCCCGGTTACCGCCTGCTGAGATGAGCTCTGTTTTCTGTGCATAATTTGGAGGGGCGGAAACCCAAAGGTGGGCAGATTCTGACATTGCACAAGGAAATGAAGAGGCCTAGGTGGTGCTGTTGCCTTCCAGAATGGGTCCACGTGGCTTGGCTAAATAGAACGAGCGAAGTAATGGCTATCTAATATCGGTAGAATTCATGCTGTGACCTTCTATCCAGATTCTTTGACTGAGGGTTGGTTTAAGCACCCGGTGTTCCCACCTGCCGTTGTTGTCGTTGTTCTTCATGACCGTCCCTAAAAGTGCTTTTTTAGAAATATGTTACCTTGGTGCGGATATCTTTTGCATTTAAGGTGTTTCTCTGTTTTCCAATCAGTAATGAATAGCGTTGCTAAGCTGTGGGTTCAAGTTAAGGACTCACAGTTTATGTGATGTGTAGTATATCATGCTGGAGACTGAAAGCAACCCGAAAATCTGTCCTTCTGGTAAAAGGTTCCCAGATTTTTCGGCTGTTGGTATACTTTACGAGCTTGTAAACGTGTGCAAAAACCAAGCAGCGCAGTAACATAGTCAACAGGGAATTTACAGCGAGGTTAGTTTTGTGTTCTGACTAATCCAACTAAGCCAACCAGTCCAACTAATCTAATATCCTCACCGCCAACCGGAAAACTCAGAATGTACCCATTTTTGATAAACTGAATTTAGCTACCATAGCTGGAGTGACGCTGTACATGTAACTGTGAATTTAAGAATCCTTGTTTAATAGATCGGCTGTAAAAGGCTGTGTGCTTATTTCTCCATGTCAATAAAGCGTAGAGACTTGGAAAACAGACGTTTGAACACACAAAAATGCGTCGAGCTGGCTTTTGGACACGCAAAACCAGTACGGAAATGATTGATAGTTTATGTGCATTACATCTTAGCATTCAGCGAATTCACCTCCCGGAGGGAAAGAGGTTGATTTATCAGACCGAGGTTTTACGGATGCATCGCGTGGGGCACGGATCGTACAAAATAAACCCGCTGTGACGGCAAAACTTGGTTAAGCCGGGTTGCCGGTCGGCAGTTATTTTCACCAACTTGCGAGACAGGCCGAGTGATTGTGGGGCAATGCTGCTCGTTTCCAACAAATGGGTAGAATGTTAGATAGTGATGATTTTGTTGGAACAATTCCTCGTTCGAAGCACTGTAATGATGAAATATCGAATTCAGTGTTTGAAAACAAACAAAACTAAGTGTTGTAGCCAAGCAGTGGGTCTTCAGGATGACCGAAGTAGGTTATTCCGGTAATTCGGTCAAATTTGACCGCGAATGTGAGTAGAAAAGCTCGGAAAATTGCGGTAAATTAGGCTTTGTAGTCGATATACAAGTGGTGAGGTGATCTGGCACATCATTGATAGTGCTAACTAATGCATCGGATAGTGTGTAAATATTTTTGCCCGGATACGATAAACCAGAAAGAATGTCGGTAATTGCTCAGGTGACTGTTGATCTGTTCGCCAAGCTTGACAAATTTTGTAAGCGTTCTGTCACCATTCGGGTGGGTAGTCCCCTTCTTCGTGCTTTCGGTTATATAGTTTACAAGGGGCAGCTTTTACGCTGTAACCTGACTGGCCATTGGCAATCATCGCACTTGGATTCTGATTGGTCAGGGCATAATCTTTTTTGCGTTGCTTTCTAGAAAGCAAGAAATACAAACCACAGCGCAACAAAGAATGTGATCGGACCGGTCAGAATCCAAGTGCGATGATTGTCAATGAACCATCGGGTAAACTCTGTGGACGAAAGCACGAAGAGGACGACTATCTATCCAACGGCCCACTAAAAGTGTTCCATCAAATGGTGATGAAATGTTTGCAAACTAATTGGCTAACTCGGCGAACAGATCAACACCGCCGGATTAGTTAGCAACTAATGCACTTGGGCTACGGTGGATACTACTGATGGGATATGCGAGTAGTATGTGGTTTTCTCGTAAATCCGCTACGCATCCACTGAAAAGTGAGAGCTCTCACGGAATTTGTGGAATTGCTCTGTGGCATTTGTTTACATGTGAGTGATAGTCAATGAGTGTCCAGGAAAGTTTAGGAAGACGCGTTCGAGAAGGCGGACATTCAGTTTTTATAAACAAGATGCACATGAGAGTTCTCCATCCCTGTCCAATAGTCTGTAACTATTCAGTTGGTGTTTTTCAATAAATAACTCCGCAGCGAAGGCCTTCTTCCTTTAGCCAACATTCCACCGCATTGCCCTGGACAATGTCTAGAGCAAGTTACAGTTGATTCATTAAGTACAAATAACTAAGAAGCAGTTGTTGCTAACTGATTCACAGAACAAATGGATATAAATTGTCAGGCTTATTTCATCTGATTGTAGACAGTTACCGTGGGTATCTACAAGAATATGCCGACTCTCTGGTATGGACTCAGCAAGCACTCCATGGACATTCATGATGTCCGCAATGGTGGTATATCAGCTGATGCTGCTTATGGTGGGTACATCTCAATACGTCCCTAAAAACGCTACAATAACGGAAAAATCCAGCTTTATTTTCAGAACTTTTCTCCTGATAGTGATGATCTCGTGAAGCTTATAGCAAGGCCAAGAATGGAACCCCTGGTCTCAAACAGCCCTCGCACTACCTGACTGGGAATTCTGTTTCGCCAATCCGTGGTATCTGCTGCTGACCCGCTCCAGTGCCTAGTGCCGGAAAAAAGACTCACAGAAGGGAACACAACAGCTGTATTCCGAACAAGCGAGTGAGTGCGTGCCAGTCCGCGAGCAAAAGTTACAATGGCCCCATACTATTTGAAGGAGAATTTTTGACATTGATCCAGAGTGTCTGATAGGCGTTAGTGAACACTCATCAACATCGATTGTGCCTCTATGAAATGCCTGAACGCTGATCACATTCGGTCGCGCTTCTGTGGTGTGCATGAACACTCATCAGCTTTTGCTGAACTGATTGAATGATTGACTGGCCTGGATTCTTGCCGGCTTTCCTATTGAGATTTTGGTGGAGTTTCAGGATCTCAGTAGGTTCCGGGCTTACTTTCAGGAATCTGACTTTCCTGATACATACGATTCAGCCGATCGACAAATCCAGGATAGTTGCTGGATCGCCGTTGGAAGCATCGGCTAAACCAGCCATATCACTCAAAAGTTCACCTGTTAAAATGTGGAAATTCAGATGCCTCTCGGGGTGTAGTAGTGGAAATGTCCTTGTCTGGAATGCTCGGGGTTAATAAGTCCGACATAAGCGAAAGAATGCACTGTTGATAAGTTCTAATAAGAGGCAAGCCCGGGTCCAGTGCTTTTTTTCGTTTAGGCAAGATGGCTCAGTGGTGGGAGCGCGAATTCACTGACCGTGGTTCAAACCCGATCTCTGCCCCTCGTCCTCCCCTGTCTAGGCTTGTGCAACCTGGCAATATCCCAGCCCTCGTGCAACCTTCGAGTGGCATGGCAGTTAGGCACCTTAAGGGTGAGACAGCGGAACGATTTACTCATTCATTTATTTGGTATGTGGGGGAGACGTTTCTCGCAACCACTTACACGTAAAACCCAAGCCACTAATTATGGAAAATTCGGTAAACCGATGTCTGCACTTGTTCAGCATTTCTGCAAATCCTATGCCACGTGACTTCATGAAAAGTATCCGAAGCCAGGCCTCACAGGTGACCGCCGTGATGTACAGTAGAAAACAAGCAATCCGTGTTGTCTCCATAAAAGCGACATTCTTGCGCATAACAGCATACTGCATCCGTTCGTATGTGAACCAAAGCAAGCAAGGACGTTTCTGAGTCTTGTGCCTCTATGAAATGCCTGAACGCTGATCACATTCGGTCGCGCTTCTGTGGTGTGCATGAACACTCATCAGCTTTTGCTGAACTGATTGAATGATTGACTGGCCTGGATTCTTGCCGGCTTTCCTATTGAGATTTTGGTGGAGTTTCAGGATCTCAGTAGGTTCCGGGCTTACTTTCAGGAATCTGACTTTCCTGATACATACGATTCAGCCGATCGACAAATCCAGGATAGTTGCTGGATCGCCGTTGGAAGCATCGGCTAAACCAGCCATATCACTCAAAAGTTCACCTGTTAAAATGTGGAAATTCAGATGCCTCTCGGGGTGTAGTAGTGGAAATGTCCTTGTCTGGAATGCTCGGGGTTAATAAGTCCGACATAAGCGAAAGAATGCACTGTTGATAAGTTCTAATAAGAGGCAAGCCCGGGTCCAGTGCTTTTTTCGTTTAGGCAAGATGGCTCAGTGGTAGGAGCGCGAATTCACTGACCGTGGTTCAAACCCGATCTCTGCCCCTCGTCCTCCCCTGTCTAGGCTTGTGCAACCTGGCAATATCCCAGCCCTCGTGCAACCTTCGAGTGGCATGGCAGTTAGGCACCTTAAGGGTGAGACAGCGGAACGATTTACTCATTCATTTATTTGGTATGTGGGGGAGACGTTTCTCGCAACCACTTACACGTAAAACCCAAGCCACTAATTATGGAAAATTCGGTAAACCGAAGCCTGCGCTTGTTCAGCATTTCTGCAAATCCTATGCCACGTGACTTCATGAAAAGTATCCGAAGCCAGGCCTCACAGGTGACCGCCGTGACGTACAGTAGAAAACAAGCAATCCGTGTTGTCTCCATAAAAGCGACATTCTTGCGCATAACAGCATACTGCATCCGTTCGTATGTGAACCAAAGCAAGCAAGGACGTTTCTGAGTCTACTCGAGAAATACACTCATTTGCAAATCAATTTGGTTTTCACGAGAGACAACTGAATCTCTCGTTTGTGATATTCTACAACTGAATGCGCTGCACACAGGTCGCCTCATGATTCAGTTGGCACGATATTCGAGATATCGCAGTGTATTTTCGTAAAGGAAACTACTCACAAGGTTGCTGAAAACTCCTCGACAGCCCGCGACCGGTGTCACCGAACCCCGAAAAGGGCGAAACCGGTCGTAGGCTGTCGAAGAGTTTTCAGCAACCTTGTGGGTTGTTTCCTTTATGAAAAAAATAACAGATACTCTACTCTTTTATGGAATGTTGCGACATACGTATGCAACTATGCCGAATGCTGACCTAGCCATTCAAATCGCAGGGCGTATCCAAAACTCACAGGAGACAACGTTCCACCGCTGGTCGACAAATCGCTTGCCATCCTCACCCAGGAAAAATATACCAAGGATAATAATATGCTGTAAGGTCACCGGGCTTGGTGACATTGAAGATACCAACGCAACCTCGGAACACACTTGGCAAGGTTTGTTTAAATCATTTGTGTATAATGCTTAATCGTTTTTGGTTTGCATGGCGCCAGTTGAATAATATGTCGATGAATTTAGCATTAGTTGATCGCATCAACTTAATGCCAAATCTACACGGGGCGACGTATGCATACTAGACACAGTCACTAATAGAATAACACTCTGAGTAAAATCATTAAACCGCGTTACGAAAAGTCATCGAGACTGCTGCAGCGGCTTTGAGGAGAATTTCATTCAAACATCGATTTTCGCCCAAAGTTGTGACGGTGTTATTCCTACTACATTCAAACTTTCGTGAATAGTTATCATTTGGCAAACTGGTACCGCTCTCAAACAGACTTTTACTCTAACCACCATTAACCCTCCCAAAGAATAGGTCCAGAAATCAGGTCTAAAGACGTTCGTGAATCTGAAAGGATTTTTGTGTTAACCCAATGACGATAAGTTGACCGTCCTGACAACAACTTAACTTCAGTTTCCATGTACAGTAAGTAGTCCTTCATTTGAAAATGGGTAACTCATCACACAATAAAATCTATTTCAGCGTACTTGGGTTGTAATCAGTCAGTACTTGCTGCGGGTGAGTCGACTGACGCATAAAAGCAAAGGAGACAAGTGACAGCCAGATTGTGACATCACCATGCATGTTGTTAGTGAATAAAACTGTTTCAGACGGCTAGGTTATGCCCCCCCCCCGTTTATCGAGGAAAACGTTGGGATCTCAGATTGCACAGTTGACCGTTGTTCTGTTGGTTGGACTGAGCGAATCGGTTACAAACGTTCTTGCAGCAACCGAAATGATATTATCAGTCTGTGGGGACTCGACTGTGCATTGTGTCGCCTAGGTTGGTGAGAAAACGCTGGCAAACGAATCACCCAGCCAAATATGCAGAACAACGAACGGTAGACGTTCGCTCGGCCGGATCAAAACTACAGCTGTTTGCAACCAAAGTGACTTTTCAGTATTGGGTGACTTCAGTTACAGAATTTCTGGGTTTTGGTAAAATCAGGTGTTTTGGCCTTCGATCAGTATGTACTCACTACCGGTAGCCTGTTCCTCGGTTCAGTGAACAGTCGTTTGAGTAAATCGCAGATCCTCGGCGTTTACACTGGTAGTTAGTCTTGTGAGTGTCAGCGAACGTCAAATTTATACGAACTGGGCAGAATGGGACCTGGGAAGCCGGGAACTGCGAAGTCAAGTACACGCGGTATGAATGAAATGACATGCCCAAGAGGGTATTTTGACGGAAAGGTGCATAGAGTTTGAGGGCACTACACAACATGGAATAAGCGTCCTGGATAGCTTAATGCGCTGAGCGTCGGCCTGATTTCACACTCAGGTGCGTACCTCACGTCTTTCTACCCGTAGTCGTGTTGTTTACCTTGCCCAGTAGGACATCATACAGATTCACCCATGGCTACGTTTTGTAGAGGCAGAATATAGCAGCAAATAAGCTGCGCGCAAGACATTACTTCCGCTGAGAGACTTTTGTGTTTGACTATTGGCCTCTGTGGAGCCTTGCGCGGGTCTGGTTGGAATATTAGATCCACAATGCCAGATGGTTTTTGGGAAAGTTTGCTCTTCTTCGATAGATCAACCGGTCACACTCGGCAAATGATACTAGTCAGGCCATGAAATTTATATGCCAGAGGACTGTGTACATCGTTGATCCCACCTCGCTCAGTCTTGTAAAAGAGGGAGGTGACAAACATGCGATCAAGTCGGCTTGGCAACGGAAGATGGAAGTCCTTTCCAGCCAACTGTCATTGCCCGAATGGGAGTCATCGGACGAGACAATCAGAGAGAGGTTAGTGACCCTGACAAGTGCTGCTGTGTAGCGCAGCCATGGACGCTCTTCCCTCAAAGGTGCGGCGTTCGCCGCGTAGCCCTCACTCCTTGTCACACCAGACAAACAGTTCCATTTATCGTCAATGCACGGATTGGCATACCACCTCCAAAGCGCGGCTTTCATTCGTTTAGTCTCCTTCTCCCCGTAGCAGCTGCAATCATAGCACTTTGATGCATGGATTGTGAGCCGAAAAAAACTGAATAGAACTCAAGTGAATTCGATTTTATCACGCAACAAATATGTCAGTCAAGAAGGGCGAAACCTGTCGTGGGCTGTCGATGGATTCTCAGCAACCTTATGAGTAGTACATTACAAAGATAGACAATCTAGTTCGTCTATCGCAACTTATTTGGAGAAGCAGCGAAAGTGATAGGATTAACGCGGTGCGCCTTCCGTCCCAATTCGACGAGCCATTGTCACAGAAGTTTGATTGCACACGGCCCGGTAAATGGCTTTTTTCGGGACCCCGTTGATCAAATTGCTCAGTAGAACATTTGGGAATAGAAGAACACTTGAAGCTCTTCGTGGATGGTATCCTATTCTTTCCGTTACCACAGTTCTGTCACGTTCGTAAGTCAATTTAACCTAACTAGCTTGTTAATTTTCAAACTTGGTTTGACGTCCAACTTCATTTAGCTGGTTGCAATCTCCATTATTTTTCGTCCCAACTATATCTTTTGTCTAACAAATTCAAATGATAGGAGTAGCTTTTCCAATTTTGTCTCTTTTATCACACTTGCCTCTCGGTCACGTTTCTGATCAACCTGTCCGTTTGATTAGTTCAGGTTGTGTTTTCCTGTCTGTTGTTAGTCTTTCCAGTCATCCTTTCTGTGTTTTAGAAGCAATCCCCATCTAGAGGTTTCAAGTGTGTTTGCAAGGGTTCGTATTGCGGAGTCTGCCTACGAAAAATATCTGGACGAAACCCGCTGACGGGACCAGCAAATTTTCTGATTGTGAATTTACACGGTAAATCTTAGGAGTTCTGGCACAGACGGTGCCTCAGGCAAACAGGTGTGTCGTCAGAATCAAACTAGGTGAGAGTGCGGACCCGAAAGTCGAAACGCTGAAAAAATTGCGCATCGTATGGTGAAAACTGTCTAACTTGTACCACCGGCACCTGAACTCTCCGTAATCTCTACAAATTTCTGAAAAGACACAAATTGCGCACCTCGCAGCTTGTTCCATTGCAAAGCAGAAACTGAAAACAACACTCGCCTCGGCACATAGCGTTTCGGCATGCGTGGCACGTGAACAAAACTGTCCAGCTGTAGCACCCTTTCGTTGCCTAACTGTCATGCCACCCAAAGGTTGCACGAGAGCTGGGATACTGCCAGGTTGCCCAAGCCTAGGCAGGAGAAGTCGAGAGGCAGAGGTCAAGTTCGAACCACGGACCTTTCGGTCAGTAAATTCGCGCTCTAACCACTTGGGCTATCTCACCCCCCAGCGTGGCACATGGTTGATCCAACAAATTCGACAGTGCAATACATCAGTATGAGGTAGTCAGCCATTCCAGACAAGTTGTCACGATGGTCCAAACCAAACATGGTGTGTTGGCTTTTTAAAATATCTGTTGGGATAGTAATCGTGTCTTGTGATAGTCCAGAAATGAATCATGAATTCGAACATAGTTCTCCACATGAGCTTGCCTGTATCATTTGCAGTTAGCTTGGGTGGATCCGGATTTTATATACGTGCATATCATAAAAAAATCGCAGTAGTATTTGAGAATGGCCAGGTTACTTGGGCGGGATGGTCGAAGTGGTTAAAGCGCAAGTTTACCAACTGGAAGGTCTGTGGTTCAAACCCAACCTCCGCCTATGCACTTCCCCTGTCTAGGCTTAAGCGACCTGGCAGTATCCCAGCCCTCGTTCCTCCTTCGTGTGGCATGGCAATTAGGCACCGGAAGGGTATTACAGCTAAACAGTTTTTTACGATTTTTCATATCAGGCTTGATCAGTGTTGCGTCCGTAGTGTTTCAGTGCACAAACTAAACTTTACTTAAATGAATTCAGTATTTTCCAATCGAACAATTTGCAGTTTATTCGATGAACTGCACGGAGCAATTAGTTTTTTTCGAAAAATGCATTAACATTTGCTTCTAAGTTGGGTAGGAATTAAAAGTACTCGCATGGCCTGTAACTAGGACTGGTGTTCTGTCGCGCCGTGAGCAGAATGCACTCTTTGAAAGTTTTCTTTTTCTGTGTGCGTGAGTTAGATTCATGGTACCATAAATCATTCCTTTATGATGAATGCGAAAATTCAACGCAACGCTGTTTGTTGCCAGGATATCATCTATGAGTTCAGATAACTAATGTATTGTCGGATGCTGGAATGGATCTGTCCACGAACAAACGGTAAGTTAGTTTGATCCCATTTTGGCATACTCTATGCAGCCAAGTTGCAAGCAGTGTTGTATTTGTTCAAGAAATTAAGCAAACTTTCAAGAGCGTTCAAGTGATTTTTACCAAAGTTATCCAGCAGTCTGAAAGAAATGCACCTTGTCTGATCATCTCAAAACGTAATTTCGTTGATCGCGACCAAACGAGAACGGATCTGTCACAGTTTATGGTTTGCTGATTCCCATCATCCATCATCATTGTCAGCTGTAAGGACCGCGTACTCATCGTACGGTGGTTGTAGCTGCCTCAGTTTCGTTCACCGATGGTTTTTAGAGGGCGCGACCGGGCCATGTCTGATAATGTCTCTAGCCATTGATGTGGCCCGTCTCGGGGTCCCATCCAGGAAGACGGCAGTGACCAGCGCAGCTGAGCTTGCTGGTAGTAGCTTTCATACTTCGCTGCCAAGTCATTGTTTGACCGCCTCTAGATCTCTTCCACCCTTCACGTGGTTGTGCGAAAAGAGCCCTTCGAGGAAGTCAGTCGACTGGCATACGCAGCACGTGGCCAAGCCAGCGCAACCTATGCAGTGTGATCAGTTCATCTATCGAGGGTGAGTTATTTCTCCCGAATACCATTCGACGCACTTCAGAATTACTGATCTGGTGTTCCCACCAGATTCGCGCAATGCTCCGAAGAGATCGATGGTCAAACATTGAAAGTCTTTTGACGTCCTCGGCGCGCAGCGGCCAGGTTTCTGGTCCATATAGTAATATGGAGCGCACCGCAGCGTTGTAAACTCGACCCTTGACAGAGAAGCTGATGCCATGCCTACGCCACAGGTGACGTAGGTTCGCAAAAGCTGCTCTGGCCTTCCCAATCCGGATGGAAATATCATTTTTCGCGAGATAACCGGGACTGATACAGCTGCCGATTCCCATCAGTGGATCAATAATTTCTTACTAATGCTGGAACAGAAATTCGACCAAGTACTACAAATCCGAATAACGTATTTTTCAGACGTGTACTTTCACAACCATTATTTCAAGTATCCGATCCTCAGGTATGGTTTGGGACAGTTTGCTACCTTAGTCTTGGTAACAGACAGTCCAACTGCCGGCATGCGTCTCTTGTTTTGCCACCCACAGAGAACCATGTCAGGTGGTCACACGTGACTTGTGCGACTTGTCTGCACATTTAGCCCGGGGGTGGTAGGCAGGAGACGTTCATAAGTGGAACAATCTTTACAGCTTGGTAGCGAAATCAGGTGGGGCCGGGCTAAGTAGTGAAGACCTCAGAGAATAGCAAAATTCCTATCTGCCGTAGCTACCTGGTCTCTCAATCGGTAGTTCACCAATAGCCTGCAGACCTGTGGTCACAGAACGCTGCTTGAATCACCACAGGCTGTTGATAGCAAAGCTGTTGCCCTTTAGGGGGACTAGATGCCAGAGTTATTGACGAATCGAGTCCGCATCAAAGCTGCATGGCTTTCGGTAACAAAGAGAAACGATTAACGGCAAGTTGATTACGGGTTACCGGTATTTTCAGTTCAGGAAGAAAGCGGGGTACTCACATGTTTGTATTGTCTGATTTTGATTCACGGTCGCTTTCCGACTTTGAATCACGCCTCATCTCTTTGATAAACAAGTTGAACGGCTTTTTCAACGATTCCAATCCAGCCCGAGTTACTGAAAAGTAGATAAAACGACTGATTCGAATCACTGAGCAGATCATCATAACTAACTGTTTTGTAAACAAGTTTTGTGTGCTTATCCATATGCAGTTCATGTGTGTTTCTGAGATTAGCTTCCCCTTTGAAAATTGAAGGCTAAAACAGTTTTGTAAAACTCTCAAGTTGCAGAAAGTGCACGCCAGCTTGCTAGGGGGTTGTCAAGCTAGGCTCAGAATCATTTGGTACGAAGAAGATAGTGGAAAAATTAATGAGACTCAGACAATGAGCGAATATACGCCCATTTGCAAAATAATTTGGTTTTTAACTGTTTTGTAAACAAGTTTTGTGTGCTTATCCATATGCAGTTCATGTGTGTTTCTGAGATTAGCTTCCCCTTTGAAAATTGAAGGCTAAAACAGGTTTATAAAACTCTCAAGTTGCAGAAAGTGCACGCCAGCTTGCTAGGGGTTTGTCAAGCTAGGCTCAGAATCATTTGGTACGAAGAAGATAGTGGAAAAATTAATGAGACTCAGACAATGAGCGAATATACGCCCACTTGCAAAATAATTTGGTTTTTAAAGAGATCCACCTGGAACCCAGCTGAATCTCTCGTTTGTGATGTTCTCAGGTTTCAACTAGAACATAAGGTTGACGGAAACACGGGGACTGCGCCTACCTGATGAGCCCAAATTGGAAGGGCGAAACCGGTCGTGGTCTGTCGTCGGATTTTCAGCAACCTTATAAGTAGTACCTTACAGACACTCAGATAACTTTGTCATAAAGGTTAGTTAGCGGCTTCCAAGAAACTGGAATTGGAAATGAGACTATTTTGCGAGGTCTGAGAAGAACTTAATGAAGGCTCCAGCTGGTCTGCTCAACGGAGAAGAACCTGCTGCGATACGGAACCATTAGATGATGGTTTTTTTGTGTTAGCCTCTCCAAAGTTATTTCTTTGTGGGCTTCGAGCAGCGCATGAATCTGGCGTGGGCAGACGTTGAAGCATCTTGTTTCGTGACGCCGGTTTTTCTGGCATAAATCCTTTTTGAATCCTGCTTGCATATATGTTGTATTCAATATTCGTTCTTTCTTTTTTTCGGATTCAGAGTTTTTTGGAAGTGAGAATTTGTCGGAAAGTAACTCTTGGAATAAGTTGTCCAAGTACACGAAGCATAAAGGACAAGAAAGGGATGGGGACGTACATCAACGGCTACCCACTTCCTTTGTACCTTCCAACAAGTTACACCAAGCTGCGTTAAGAATCTTGACGTATCAGCGCAGCATGAAGGTAATACAAGAGGCTCACTACCAGAGGCACTACCAGATATTGACTGTCGGACCAGTAGGCATGGGCGGCGAAGCAGCCGTGCCTAAGGATGGAGGCCACCAAGAGTCCACGAGAGATCTACCTCCGGTAGGCCGGAGATTGATGGTTTGGATACACACACAGGCATGCCTTTTCGTTCATACACAGATGTGTAGATAAATAGCATGTTCCAAAAGGAAGCTTTGTTCTCTCAGTGAAGTCGAGAAGCACTGCACAGCTGTTTTGCCCGTCCTGGATATCGCCAGCACTGCGTGGCAAGATGGCCCAAGTGGTTAGAGCGCGCATTCACCAACGGTCCGGTCCGTGGTTCGAATCCGACCTCCGCCTCTCGACTTCCCCTGTCTAGGCTTGGACAAACTGGCAGTATCCCAACCCTCGGGCTTTCTTCGGGTGGCATGGCAGCTAGGCACCGGAAGGGTGGTACAACCAAACGCTTTCTTTCTTTCTGTATCTCGTGAAACTCAAAGAGTTTCGAACTCCATGCTTCTTGAACACTTCAGGTCACGAGCTGCTGACCAGCAGTGTGATTAGTACTCATCCAACTCTTACTCACAAACTGCAAGTTATTTGTGGATGAATTTGATTGTGTTGCAAGTCTGGTAGCTAGGTCCATCATTAGTTTCAAAACGAAGGGTATACTATCAGAAATTAGGAAACTACCCACCAAAAATCAATACAATTACAAACTCCTAATCGATGCCATTTTCGTGCGCCGTCATAAATACACTAATGGAAACTGATCAGAGTCCTGAAATTCCGAGCGAACACATCAAAAAGTACGGTACCTGATCTTATCGCGCTGAGCAGTATTCATTTCTCAATTAATATTCCGGTGATATTCTGGATCGCTTCTGTACATTTTACTTTTCAACATCCACACAGGGTAAATCGATTCATCCATTTTAAGTCATTTTCTCATGGCAGTTGAAGAATAAAAATCATCACTATACTATCTATTTGATAATTTTTAGAGTACTGTATATATATATATATATATATATATAAATCTACACCAGAAACAAAACAAGTCGTCCCTTGCATTCTTTGTTTACTTGCCGACGTATAGACTTTCAAGGGTGCATTTACTATTATTGGTTTGTCTCAAGTGGCCACTACAGTTTGAGTCCAGGTATATTATCCACGGTTTTGAAGTGCGGCCATTAGTCTAATAGATTAGGCAAATTACTAAACATCTAACTGGGCGAACAAAAACCGCAGGCCAGTATTCCAAATTGGGAAGCGACTAGAAAAGGTCATCACACGTAGCAGTGAGTACTCTCTCTCTCTCTAGATAAGTCATTTTTCATTTCATGCGAAATATTTCCGCAAAAGACTGTAAACTCATTGCCGTTTTCAAATAAGTTTCATAACTCCGAGTGTTTCCTGAATTTCTAGCTAAGTTCACGATACTAGCGAATGTACACTCTTGCAAAGTAATCTGTTTTTTTTTCGAGAGACTTACCCGGAACCCAGCTGAATCTCTCGTTTGCGATGTTTTCAGCTCGGGGACCTCGCCTAACTGATGAACCACAAAAAGGGCGAAACCGGTCGTGGGTTGTCAGAGGAATCTCAGCAACCTTATGCATAGTACATTACAAAGACATATATGTATGGCGACGTCTCGAATATCGTAGCGACTGAAACATGAGGCGGCCTGGTGCCCACACTCAGTTGCCTGGGAACATCACGAACGAGAGATTCAGCTGGGTTCCAGGTGAGTCTCTCGAAAAAACCAAATCTGTTTGCAAATGAGTGTATATTCGCTAACATCACGACAGGTTTTCACGGCGACGTGATTTGGATTCCGTAATCCGAGTTGTGCTATATCCTGTCTACCCCGAAAGGATGAAACCGGTCGTGGGCTGTCGACGGATTTTCAGCAACCTTATGAGTAGTACATTACAAAGGTCACGACATATTTTGCGTAAAGACCGAAGCCGTAAGCCGGATGGAAAGCATTTTGATCAGCTCTACCCGGTAAAATTTATCCTCTCTGTGTGCACTGGACGGAAATATCGAACTATCGATTTGCTTAACGAACAGAGATTTTATGTCCCGTAAATATGCGTGTCCCAAGATCAAATGCGCAAGCCAACTAAAGCAAAGTTCTTTTAGAGTGACCTGTCATGACATATCTTCAAAAAGGCAGTGATTTTAGAGGCTACTGTAGTGGGCACTTTTTCGTGAATGAATGTGTAAGGTAATATGCGGTTTGCGTCACTCAAAGGAGAGAACCGAGAACGCAGCAAAGTTGATTACTTCAAGTACGGGAAACTCGAATTTCCTGCAGACATCCGTATGAACAACAGCGATCACACCACACAGCGTCTGCTCAGACTCGCAGTCTTCACGTCACCTACTGAAATAACTCCAGAGGCAGGACTGGCGATATAAACTGGGGCTTTGTTCGCTAATTATGAAAGTGTTGGCTTGTCGGCATTTGGGGATTTAATGTTCCTATACCCGGAATATCAGACTGAACTACTCTGTGGACCAGGATTCGTCAATCTGGCTGAATATACCCGTGGAAGTCAGGAGAACGAAGAAGGTAGCGAACAAAGCTTGTTTTCTGCTATTGTTCCTCTTGACCAATACGTCACAAATTTATATGGTAGCAGAAATCACGTGGAAAAGGTTAAGATCGGGGTACAAACACCTTAGAGAAGTGGAAATTGAAGGAAGGGGTTGGCTGAGGGGCAGGTCAATGGGTCACGGAATCAGGTGAGTGACGTCAGTGTCAGACAGGCTCGTTGGAGCGGGTTCTTTGCAGGCCAGTTCAGGTTCAGAGGTTACACAAGTTTCTTTTGGATGCGAAGTTTTGAATCTAGCAGTTGGATTCAAATCGCCCCTGCGATCGATGGTAGTCTGGATCGTACCAGCTGTGATTGGTCCAAAGGTACCCGGTATAGGATAGTGAAGGCTTGGCGTTTGTCGCTGACATGAGTGGTTTCGGCCAAATGTGACGCAGTCGCACTTGAGCCTGGTTTCTTACAACTACCACTCAGAGACGGGATTGTGTTCTTGCATTCTGTCCGACAAATGCCTTGTCATTCGACCGGGGTACGATGTTTGGCACGAGCATACAAATCAGTACACACAAAAGCCGGTGGTATGATGTGACAATTTGTCCTTTAAGCGGAAACTGATGGTGGGGCTGGTGTTGAAGCTCAAACACAGATCAGCAACCAAGTGGGTTGTATATATATATATATATATATATATATATTCGCAGATGCCCTGTTGCATCGTTTAGCTGGTTAATTCAACTAGGGTTCCCAGCAACCTTTTTTGAAGTAAGCCAAACGGAAGACTGGTCGATAACATGGGATTTCCTAAAACACAACAATCAAGATGGACAAATGCTTGATTAGAGCACTCAGGATGCATCAACTCAGAGCTGAAGGACTTTAGATGAGTGAGCTAGGGTGGGCGATATGACGTGAAATCGCATATCGTCTGCTGTAATGACCAGTAAGAGAATACGATGGACATATTTTGCTATGTCTTCGCCCCCCTGACTTTGAAAGTACGGAACGTTTTGCGTAGGATGGTTAAGGCCTTCAATGAAGTGGGAAATTGAAATCAAACGTTGAACTTTGTGTTCATATTTTCATCAAAATCTATTGCCATTCTTATAGTCATTCTAATACAATGGTTAGCAACCCATCGAAGATCTGTTTCACGCTTGTCATATTAGATGTGTAGTTTAAGC